AAGAAGGGATTCTGTGGCTAAAGAAGAATTTAGAGGTGTAGTGGGAAGACACACTGGTATTGTTCAAATCCTCATTTTACAAATGGAAAATTAGAAGATCAGAGAGGGGAAAACTCTTCTAATAACTGAGCATGGTGGCACACATTTGTAATCCCATCTCTGGAGGCTGAGGCAGGAGGCTTGTGAATTCAAGGCCAGGCTGAGCTGCATATCAAGACTCATATTTCAAAACAACTGATTAACAACAAAAACCCTCTTTTCTGTACCCCAAGATGTGACAAACAGGAAGAAGAAGAAAAAAGAACTTAATTTAGAGAAGGAGACTTGGAGTCAGAGTTCCTAAGGAAAAAAAAAGTCTGTAGGGGTAGTGTCACAAGATGAATTACCTCAGGAGTCTATTTGAGAGGTTGTGTCCTGTCAAGAAAGTTTTAGGCACTTGAGTGTCTTCCCTTCAGTGTGAATGGAAGGCCAGCCCCTCAGTCTACCTCCCAGAAAAAGAACCTTGAGCTGATGAGCAATGACTATGGCAATGTCACTTCCCTGGCCACACTAAGACCCACAGGAAGTACCAGAATTTCTCTGAACAGGGCCTCATAAGAATGTTGCTGCACCCAGAGCTTTGTGGTTTCATGCCAGTAGAGAATTTCCTAGAGAAAGGGTTCTGGGAGAAATTGCACTGCAAGACACAAAGAGGCTTCAGTGAGGACAGCACATGGCTTCTCAGGAGTGCTGGTGGAAGGTGGAAGGTGTGGGTTCCATGAGCCCCTGGAGCTTACAGGGCAGTCACTGAGTTGTGCAATTAACAGAAGCCTTGAGGTTGACTTCAGATGGAACAGTTTCTTAAGGAGTTCAGAGTCCAGGGCTCTTTTGTTTGAACTCAGGGCTTCACACTAGGCTTGGGAAATTGAGATGGTTTATTTTGTAGTCGTACAAGTTAACCTGCTGACCCTTTGGACCTGTTTGGGTTGTGGGAACCAAGCTTTAATGTCCCCATCAGATCTGGGAGGTCTGAGTTTTAAATCGATGTCTAGCCAGGGGCAAGAGATTAAAGAGCATTGCCCATACTGGAAACTACTGTGAAGAATGGTCACTTTCTGCCTTTGCTTTCCTTGGTGCATGTCCTCATTTATTCAAGTTAGGAGGAAAACTAAAAAGGAGCAGTATATACACAAGTAAATCCATATGGCATCATTCCCATAACGTACTGTATTTAACAAGGATGAGTTCCTGTTTGTGTACTGGCTAGTCTAGACACTAGGACTGTATCCTGGGACAGAACAAAGTCCTGCCTTTGTGGACACTTCCTTCTCATAAGGAAGCCAGGTAGAGAGTTACAGTTTTGGGAGGTGATGAGTGCTGCTAAGAGAAATCTGAGTGAAGAGAACAGGGAGTGTGGGGGTAAAAAGGCCTTTCAGATAAGGTGACACTTGAGAAAGGCTTGAAGGAGCAAGGCTTGGAAGATGACTAGGTCACGGGGGTGGAGCCCTTTGAGTGGGATTAGTGTCCTTGTAAGAGACCAAGGGCTTATTTGCCCTTCTACCATGTGGGGAGTCAGTGAGAAGACACTATCTGTAAACCAGATAGCACCTCACCAGATATTGATCTGCTTTGATCTTGGACTTTCCAGCCTCCAGAACTGTGAGCAATAAATACCTGCTTTTAAAAGTCACACAGTCTATAGGTTTTTTTTTTTTTTTTTAATTAATTGGTTTTGCTGGGACCTAGGCTTTGAACTTTGAAATTTGTGCTTGCAAAGCAGTTGTTCCATCACTTGAGCCATTTTGTTCTAGTTAGTTTTTGAGATGGGCTCTGGTGAACTGTTTGTCCTGGCTGGTCTCAAACCACAAGCCTCCCAAGTAGCTAGGATTACAGGTGTGAGCCACTGGCAGCTGGCTGATACTTTGTTTCAGTAGCTGAAAGACAAATAGGCTTTTCTGCCTTTTACTCAGGGCGAGATGGAAAGCCACCAGAGGGCTTTAAGTATAAAAGATGACTCTGGCCACTGTGGGGAAAAGGAACTGAAGGGTCAGAGCAGAAGAAAGGAGACTTTCCAGGAGGCTCTTCATTAAGTCAGATTCTGAATACATTTTGAGACAGAACTAACAGGGTTTACTGCTTGTTTAGATTTGAGTATGAAAGAAAGAAGGTTCAAGAACAGTATAAAATGTTTTTGTCTAAAGTGGTTATAAGAATGGAGCTGTCAATTACAGCAATAGGGGAAGATGGGGATCCACAGAATTTCTGACTTTACTGATAGTTTTAGGAACAAGCTATGGAGATTCAAGGGAGGAAAGTGTAACTTAATCATTGGTTGCCTATTTGTCTTCCTCTCTGACAGCCTCACTTGTATTTGAGTCAGTTCTACCACAATTATTTTCGGGATAAGTGTGATCCCAGCATTTAAATTTTTAGGAACATTTATCTAGTCCTCTGCAATTCATTGTGGTCAGAGATGTGACAGGATAGGGTCCTTTGGGTCCAGAAGGGACACTCCTTATTTCAAGAACTATGCTGGTTTCCTGGCTGCATAACAAGTTATTACAGACTGGTGTTTTAAAACATTACAGAAATGTCGTCTTTCAGAGTTCTGGAAACTAGGACTTCAAAAACCAGGGTGTTACCAGGCCATGTTCTGTCTGAAGGGCCTAAGAATACTTCCTTGCCTCTTCCAGCTTATACCCTCCAATCTCTGCTTCCATCGTCATACAGCATCCCCTCTCTCCGTGTGTCTGTCTTCCTATGGTGTTCTTGTAAGGACATCAAACATTAGATTTACCACCCTCAGTCTGGTATGACCTCATCCTAACAGGGTTACATCTTTCCAAATAAGGTCATGTTCACAGGTAACAGAGATTCAAACTTTAGCATGTGTTTTTGTGACAGAAGTTCATTTCATGGCAGGTCCCTTGGTCTGGATTTGATGGTGAGGGTCGTCTGGGCTTAGATGTGCTTGGGGATGAGACAGGACCAAGTTTGAAACTTGGTCCCACTATGGTATGGATGTCTCATCTTTTAGAATCAGTTAATTAATTTTGGCAGTACTGGAATTTGAACTCAAAGGTAAGTCATTTACACTGTTTTTCTGAAACTTGAAGACTTTAGGATATACAAGTAGCACAATTCATTAAACATAGGAAGAAGAAGATTATAGGGAAAAAGAATTTGGCCATAGGCCTGCCTGGGCAGTATGGCAGAGAGGCCTGTGCTGATGTTCTAGGCTTATGGTTTCACCAGCTATGACAACAAGTTGGCAGAAATTTAATACAAAAGACCTGGTTCCCTGGGCACTGGCTGTAGCAGGGGAGAACCCTGCTTCCTCTACCAGCTGAGCACTTTGTTTCTTTCCCATGGGGCTGGGCCCAAAGATACCTAATGGTGCGTGGCACTCTGTGACTGTTGTTCCCTCTGTGCATGTACATTCCTCAGTGGTGTGTCAGGAGTTATTAGTATGTGCCTCTTTTTAACTCACAAGTAAACTCTAAGGGTTGTTTATCAAAGGAAGTTCAAGTTCCCACTCTGCTATCACAATGATAACCCTGTACCAGGGTTAGCAGTGGTGTAATTAAACAAAATTCCTTAGCAACAGTATACATTTGTGACCACTGAATTGTTACCATGGTCATGGTAAGTTTTAAGGAGCTCCTGTTGTGTTGTAAGGAAGTTGGCAGGTGGGTGATGAGTAAAAACTGAGCTCTCTCTAGCCAAAAGGGAAGTTGAAGTGAGAAAGGACAGACAGGAATCAGAGGTTTCTACCAGAACTCATAAAGATTTGTGTCTTGCCTGTAGAAGCATTTGGCTCCTGCAGAGAAGAGCCTCAGAATCAGTTAATATCTGACCAGAGAGAAGGTAAAGGCAGACATGCATGGGGTGGTAGAGAGGCTTGGTGCAAGTGAATGCCCTCAAATGTCATGTCCACTTTTCCATCTCAGCAACTGCCTGAAGCCTGTCAAGCAGGTGTGGTGCCACTTGAACATAATGTGAACTGTAATGTGTGGCCCACCAGCCCTCTCCCTTTGCTTCCCTGGGTCATGTGGGTATTTGGGTGAAGAGGGGAGGGCTGAGAAAAGGACCCTGGTGGCTCCTGGGCTGTCTGGACCAGGCTTCATGTTATCGGCTCCAGCCTGACTCCCAGACACATGCACCCTGGGAGGGGATGATTCTGAATATTCCTTTAGGACGTGTGTACTGTCCCTCCAAAAGGCAGCCTGCATTTTATGTCTGACTATTGGGTGGAAAGACAGTCACGATACATCCTCAGGGCAGGGACCTGTGGTTAAATCCACCATATTTGAGGGGTGAGCACAGGGCAAATAATGTACAGACATAATTTCCTTTGACTAATCTTTTATAATCCTGGTCCAGATGTACTTTCTGAAAGCAGTTAAATTTCTTTGTCTAAGTTGAGATTTTAATTTAGGATCCAGATGAGGCAGGAGGTAAGCTTCCAGAAGGTCTCCTTTACTTGGTGTGTCACTGTCCTGGATTCCTGGCAGCAGCAATTTCATTAGGAAAGCAGATTCCACCCTGACTCATCTGCCTTAGTGAGATGTGTGGTCTGCGCGCAGCAGCAGTGCCACACAGCACTCAGGGCCGCCATCAGGCTCACTGGACAAAGCAGTGCACTCTCTATAGCACTGTGGGCACCTGGCCTGGGCCATGGGAACCTTGAGACGGTCTGGTCTGTTATGAGGCAGGAGTACTGTCCTGGAATTTCCTGCCCTTTGGTCTGACTTCATGTACCCAGACACCTGTTTTTTAGCTGTCTTCTGGGAAAGTGTTACTGCCTGCCTTCCACAGAGCACTTCTGCTTCCCAGCATTTCCCAGGCCACTTCCTCTGCACCTCCACCCCTGTGGCAGATGGGGAGCACTGTGGGCTGGCATGCTCCTAGAACTGCTCATCAGAGATGCTATAGAGCTGCTGTAACCTTTGGCCACAAAAGCTGCATCTGGTAACCTGACCTGTTCACCCTGGTCCTAACCCTTCTTTCTTATATTGCAGCAGAAAAAGTCCTACCTGGAGCGGAGCGTTAAGGAAGCTGAGGACAACATCCGGGAGATGCTGATGGCACGAAGGGCACAATAGGAGCTTCTAGGTGAAGCTCTTCTTTCCTCCTGACTTCTCTCATCCTTGCAAAAGCTGAGGGGCCTGCGCAGGGTAACAGCCCCTCAGCCAAGCCAGATGGACGTTTTACCTGGATGGTCTCACAACCCCACATTCTGTATGTTGCCCTGAGCCCCTTTCAGGCCCCAACCTTGTGTATTTTTCCCTGCCTCTTTCTGTCAGCTGTGCTCCAGGACACTCTGTGCTTGGGGAGAGCTAGGAACTCCAGGGAGAAGGAGGACTGGGCCAGGGCAGATAGGAAGTTTTGCCTGAGCTTGCTGCTAGGCAAGCTGTCAAACCAATAAAAGGCTACGTCCTACTCTCCAAGTCTGCTTTTCTTGAGCCAAGGGATGAGAAGAGAGAGGAAGAGAGGCAGTGGCATCTCTCAGTTCCTGCTCCCTCCTTTCTTTTCTGGTGCTTGACCTCTGACTTCTGGGCCTTTTTGTAGTACAGAGGACGATGACTTAAATTCATAGCTGAAGTGAACAGAGTGGTAGTCGGCCTCAAGATTCTTTTCACTGCTTCCTCCCAAACATTGCAAAATAAAGTTCAATAGCAGATAGCACCTCCAGGGCAGTCTCCCTTTGGCCAGTGTCAAAGATGGATGCTACAGGCCTGAGGCCTCCAAGGGGCTCAGGGGCAACAGTGTGCTGGTGCTGGCTTGCCCCTGCTCAGGAGAGCCAGTTATTCACTTTTTAGGAATTTTGTTGCAAGTCAGCTGTTTAGCAGAGCTATTATTAGCAACTAAATTGTGTAAACTTAGAAGTTAATATTAATGACAGGGAAAATAAATAAAAATTCAAAAACTCATCCCTTTCTGCTTATTTTCCTGTACTTGACCATTGTGTGGGTTCTTAAGGTGCCCGCTGTAGGTGGGAGCACTACTCAGTGGTACACTCGGCTCCACACCACAGACATGAGATGGTATAAAATCATGGCCTTTAAAAAAGCAAAACTGGTATTTAACTGTGTAACAGCACAGCGCTACTCCACAGGGCAAAAACAGGCAGGCAGAGGTAGGGAGTTGTGATCTTCATTGCCATGGGACCAGGAGAATCTGACTTGCTCTTTGGCAGCTCAGCACCACCCCGTGGCCAAAGGTGGGATGAGTAGCTTGGCTTTCTGTGGGGAGCAAGCAGGAAAAAGGAAGTCTTGGGTCTGTCTTGGTGTGACTGCGGGCTCCTGGGCTTCCAGAGAGGAGATGCAGAGCAATCTAGTCTCCAAGAAGCCCCTTTCTTAGGCCATGGGCCAAAATGAGTCTAAACTGTGATGGTAAACACTCCTCCCAAGCCCATCTTGAAGGGTCTACAGGCTGAAGGACACTCAGCCTTGGGCACCCACACCTTACAAACCTTAGCGGAAAGGTCAGGAAAGGTAACGGAATCCAGGAGACAGAAGCACAGACTCAAGGTGGCTTACCTGGAATAATTCAGACAACTGGGTTTTGGACAAATTTATTCAAACATACAGGGTGTCAGCAGAGAAATCATTCAGTGGTGTGTTACATCGTGCCACTGCCTTGAATGTATAATTTAAAAATGATAAATATATATTTCGTAACTAAGCCTTTGGCCAAAAAAATGAAAGTCGTTTAGCACATTTGTTAAAGATCAATAAGAAATGGATTTTTGAACATTAAAAAGATCAAGTCACTGAATTAAACAGCAGCAGCCCTCACTAATCTAAAATCCCATATTGAAGGTGGTATCCGCACAGAGCTAGTCACTTATTACAGCAATCAGAAGAGATGGGGCAGGCACACTATTGGAGGTGGCTGCAGAGCTGGCCGGGAAGGAGGGCTGGGTTGCTCAGGTGAGCATGTCCCAGAGACAGCAACAACAGAGAGCAGTCCAGCAGGCTGTGAGGCAGGTGGATGGGCCCAGGTCATCTCTTCTTTGGTCTTCCACCACATACACTGGAGAGAGAAAATGAAAGGACATGAGCCCATGGCCTAAGAAAGGGGCTTCTTGGAGACTAGATTGCTCTGCATCTCCTCTCTGGAAGCCCAGGAACCCGCAGTCACACCAAGACAGACCCAAGACTTCCTTTTTCCTGCTTGCTCCCCACAGAAAGCCAAGCTACTCATCACGGGGTGGTGCTGAGCTGCCACAGAGCAAGTCAGGTGCAAACCTCAGGCAAAGTTAGCCTTCCAGGACAAGGGAAGGCCAGCCTTTTTGCTCCTGCCATTGTTAAAGATGAATGGAGGAAAGGCAGCTTGGCTCATCAACTGCTTCCCCTCCTCTCGCCACTCCAGACGAAGGACGTGCTCCTCCTCTCAGGAGTGAATACTTGGCAAATTACAGAGGGCTCTGCCAAGGCAGCCAGAGTTGGTGAACACTAGTTGGTTGATAAATAGGGGGCCTTCTGTCCACCATCCTTCAGAGGGGCTGGGGCAGCATTCCTTTGGATACAGGTAAGCCATCACCTAAGAACAAGAATTAAAGTCTGCATAAAAGGGGGCTCTAAATCGTAAAGGCATAACCAGAAACCCTGGTTTTTTTATACCTGGGTGATACATAATTGTAGAACGTACTCCCAAACTCTGCATTGTGACTCAGAGGATTAAAGCAGACAGGGACAAATGGCTAGAGCTTACATGGTGTCTGACCTCTGATCTTCCTCAGAATAGAGTTGGAAATCTGAGCAATAAACAGATTCGTAAGACAAGAAGGACCCTACCATGCTCCAATTACAGGCTAACTTGTAAGGCCTGGTGGTCAACCTGTAGCCACTTTTTTAAAAACCTCGGAACTACCAACCACCATCATCAAACTTGTAAGCAATAAGGACTTCAAACTTTTGCAAAGCTGACAAGTGTATGAATCTTACAAATAAGACCAGTCCTTTGGCAGTTGTCTTTCAGTTCTGTTTTGGTGTTTTGTATCTATTTCTATGCTTCCTTCTCTTGGCAATTCCTCCCTGAAGTTGGTATTCTAGCTAGAATGTGCTGGTTTACTAAGGAGTTTTTCCAAGTCCTCCCTTGTATCACAGTGGCCCTTGCTCTGGACCCTTCCCCTCCTCTGTGGCAGAGGTTTAATCTCAGCCCACTTTTATTTAGCCCCACTCAGCAATATAAGCAAAGGGTTCTAGGTCTGGGAGATGACCCACCACCATGGAAGCTGGGTCAGAGGGAAGAGACCAGCCCTTTTTATTCTGAGACTTAGAAAGGTATGTGCCCCAGTGGAGTTCCCACAAGGAAGAACCCTGAGATGGTCAACACTGGCAGTCATTTTGCAGGAACTTGAGGCCTAGAGGTTATATCTCCTATGGCCAGTGCACAGGGCCAGGCAGGGTAGGGTTAGGCCTATATATCGCCTACCTAAAGTCTGGTATGCCAGGGCTGCTCAGGCCCAAATGAGCTAGAAAAGGGACCAGAAAGAACACAGAACGGAGGTCACAGCTTACCCCTTCCACTATGGCCAGGGCATGCCAGGTCCTGAGGTCACTGTAGCATGAAAACCCTGGGCAATGTTACCAGCATCTGCCTGGATGATCTGCCCATATTTTCGGCCCCTCCCTGGGTCCTGTACAGGCAACTCTGGACAGAGCAGCATAATGGGCTGCAGAGTTCCATGAGTAGCCCCTTCTCTGGATTCTCCATGCCAGGGGACTGGCTCCCCTGCCTGGGATAGCAGGCCCCTCTCCTGTCAGCTCTGGAAATAGCCTGTTAGATTCATGTGCAGGCCTTCACTGGGCCATGGGCCAGAACGCTGGCTGAGCCTGGTTGCTGAGAAAGGTTCCCCAGTCTTCAGCTACTATTTACTGGGGTGCTCACAAGTGCCAGAACACCTATCTCGCTTGCCTTTCTCCTGGCCCTCTCTCCAGCCCCAGAAACGGGGCTTTCCCTCCTGCCAGAGCTATTGAACCTTGAGCAGCTGTGCTGGGGAAACAAAATGTTCCTTGTTCTGCTTCCTTCATTGCCTTTCTCCTCCAGCTCAGCCAAGGTCATCCTCGTTGGGGTTCATTTCACGTCATATTCTCAGAAACCTGGACAACTAGAGACTTCAAGCTCATTAGTCCCAGACTGCTGACAGAGTTAGAAATAGGGGGCAGCTACTGAATCCAGACTGCAAACTGGAGGGGAAGGGAGGTGTCAACTGTGACAGGTACGAGTGCCCACACAGCCCTTAGAAACCTGAGGCACACACTTCTAGGGGTACTGAGGTTTTCAAAGCCCTCTGGCTTTTCCGCTCTTTAATCCACTTAGGACAGGCCCTCCACCTCAGAGGTTGGGCACATGGTGGGAGCAGGGCAGGGTCTGCAGATCTGCCACCTGCTGGTGTGTTTCAAGTCACCCAATGCAGGAGGTGACTGGCTCAGGAAAAAGCTCTAAAGAAGACCTCCCAGTTCCTCCTGGGATAGGCCATGGACCCCAGTGTTTTCTGGATGTCCACCTGCTCATGGAAGTAAGGTCTCCAGATGGTGTCTGTGCATGGAACTGCAAAGCCTCCCCTTTGCCTGAGGATCGCAGTCCTCCCACAGCCTCACTGTTCTTTGCCTTCTGCTCTGCCACTGTCCCTTGTCAGCCCCTAATGAGGGAATCTGAGAACTCCCACACTGCCCCCTCTGGCGCTGGCCAGCTGCACCCCATGCTGTCTGGATCCTGGGCCATGACAACCAAGAGACCGGTGCAGTGAAGCTTAGCGGGCAGTCCCAGTCACCCAACAGGAGTTGGGGCAGAGATGGCTCCAACCCAGGCCAGAAGGGCGTCCTGGCAACTGCCTCCTCCACAGCCAAGTGCAGCATAAAGGGGGGAGGACCACGGGTATGTAAGATGTTAAAACAATACCTAAACTCTGTAGTAGTTTTTTAAGGAGGAAAAGAAGAAAGGGGATGAAAAGCGCAATGGTGGGTGTGGGAGCAGGCAGCACCTGGCCATAGAAGAGGTTCTGGTGCCTGCTCAGTTCCAGGTCCTTTTTGGAGATCAAGTGTCCCCCTGTGGCCAGTCTGGGGACAAAGGCTGGGCTCCAGCTCATGTTGGGTATAGGGGCTTAAACACTAGTTTCTATGCACATCAGCCCAAAGGCTAACCTCTCATTCACCAATGTCTCGGACCATCCTATTCAGCCAGTAGTAGGGGCCTGTGTCCTGACCCCAGGCAAGAAGGGACCAAAAGGCAAATCTTATTCAGCCAGTGGTAAGGGCCTGTGTCCTGACCCCAGGCAAGAAGGGACCAAAAGGCAAGATGCGTTGCTATTTCCAAGGGACAGCAGTTAGGGTGGGAGTCAGGCCCAGGGATTCCTTCACTGCTTGCCTCTCTTGCCTTCAGTTCACTCCTTTGAGCCAACTCAGTATCCCCAGCCCTAGCCCAGTGCAGAGCCTGCAAAGGGGCAGGTACCCAGGGAGGCCTTAGGTCTTGGGTACAGAGCAGTTTTGGAGTGAGTTGAGCTGCTTCTGGCAGGGGCTTCACCTCTTCCTGCCTTTGTGCTAGAAGCAAAAAAGAGAGGTGGAAGATGCCAGGAGGCTTGCAATGGCCACTAGTGCCACTGCACTGTGGCCACTAGACACACCAACCAGTAGCCCCTTGGTTCTGGGCAGGCAATGGGCAAGTGGGCCAGGACAGGGATGACCAGCAAGAAATCTGAACAGGAGCCTTCTCAGGTGAGGGCTCCACCGGCCTGGCATCTAAAACCTTTACTTGTGTGGCTCAGACTTTTTAAATGACTAGTCAAATGCTGTGATGTGGTAATACAGCCTTATTAGTCTCTGTATCTGTACAGTCGGACCCAAGAGAGCTCAGGAAGAGAAGCAAACAGAAAGCCTAAACTCTCCAGAGGGTTCTGATGTCTGGAGCCTTCAAGCAAAGGGCTTCAACAAGGAGTGAGGAGGCAGCACTGTGGCCCAGTGAGGGGTACCTAGAGCCCTTCTTCTGTTAAAGACCCACTGTTAAGACCACTACAGCCACAGAAAAGTGCCACCAATAAAGATGACAACTTTGCCAGAGGCAAAAGGACCTATAGTCTAAACTGCCCTTGCCCCACGCTGGGCATCTAGGCCAACAGAAAGTCACCAGCCCTCTGGGAGGTTGCAGAGGATGCCAGAGCAACCATTCTACTGTGCAGACGAAGAGGCAGGCAGGGAGGGGAATCTTTTAAGCACTTCCAGAATAAGTAAAACCTCAAGACAGTATAAGATGGCTCCTTCATGCAAGAGCACAGAGAATAGACAACTTGCTGGGCTCTGTCACCTTTCCTTGGATGTTCATGTGCAGTGAGATCGTTTGCTACTCAGCACAAAGAGGCTGCTCTGTTAAAAACAAAACATTCTCAAGTTACCTGCTCAAACCCCATGAGTACCAGGTAAATATGCAGAGGGAGGCAAGGTTGTCGAGGGCAGCCAGGAACGGAAAGGGGGCCACCCCAACTTCCATCCTCCCAGCCTCATCTAGGCAGATCAAGGCTCCAGGACACTAGGCTCTGCAGATCAGGGGCGGTCTCCTGCCCTTCTTCCCTCTTCCTCCACAGCAGGAGAATATATGGGGCTGGCAGAACTGGCGTAATCTTACCATAGGCTCCACAACAATAGCTGCCTTCACTTGCTGAGATTGTCTGTCCCTAGCCTCCCACGCCGCTGCCCTCCTACTCTGCCTGTCCTACTCCTCAAGCCGCCCTCTGCAGCTTCAGCTCTGGCTTCATAGACTCTCTGTGAAACTGAGTCAGGACAGACCCATCTCCTAAGTCCCTTCCATCTCTCTGCTTCAGTGTCCCAAGATACTCAGGATGAGGTAGAGCTGACCAGTCACTTTTCCTACTGGCCTGTACACCCACTGACCTGCTCAACCATGTGGCCTACCACTGCTGTCCACACAAGGA